ATTTTGTAAAATAAGGGATCCTACCTACTGAAGAAGAACATTGTGAGAATTTGTTTATGCAGCTATAAAACATTACTGATCTAGGAGTGTTAAGAAGAAGCTGTATTCTTATGCACCCTAATAATATTCTGCTGCAGGTATTTACTATTGGCTGGTCAAAGTTCTCTCAGAAGTTTCATCTAAGATACATGATTGTTTTTCAGTTCCCATTTGTTATTTGATACTTCTGTAGAACTCTTGTGAGGCTGTTAAACTAGCACCATGTTCCACCCTAAGGTTGTGTTCATTGCAATGGCATGTGCACCTGGATCTTCTGTGGCAGTGTCAAGTACAGTTACTGCAAAGCAGTTTGAGTGTCTTGGCTAAAAGGTGTCAGAAAAGGCCAGAATATTATGTTGCCATCAGCATTGGGGTTTTTGGATAAGACGCTTTTTATGTTCTGTGTTATCTTTTACAAAATCCAGCTCTTATTTTTAATAAAACAAGAGCTTAATAACAATTAACTAACATCATTCCCAGACAGGTGGGAAAAACAGAGTAATCCAGGCACACACCTGAGGAGGTGAAAGGGACATAGTGCTCAATATTCAGCATTTAAAATGTAATGGTACCTTACCATTGGGCATTTGTCTAGCAAAGGAGAGTTCTGTTAGGAGTTCAAAGGGGATTAGGATGTGACACCCACAACAACAATGTAGTGTCTTGTTCCCTGATTCTGATTTGTGGACTCCGAAGTCATCTACTAAACTCTGGCACTCTTCACGTTGTATATAGGGTTTGTAATTCTAGCCACAGGCCACATGTAGCATACTACACACAGGCCTCTGAAAGGCTCCCTCATGACAGCCGGGTACAGCTGCTGTCCCTAGTCCATGAATAAAATTGGAATTTTTACTATGGTAACATGTAGATGTATTCTCAGGAATTAATTCTGCTTCCATTCAAGTCCCTTGGCAGGAGACTTGAGTCCTAGGACCATTCAGAAGTACAACCAAAACCCCCTTATTAATCTAACTTCAGTCAGAGAGAGGGCAGCCCTGCACCTGGCCTTTTTGTAATGCTTTGTAACCAGACATCTGATTTTCAAAGCAACTTTTAACAAACAACTAACTTCCCACTCAGCACAGCTGCTGATACACCTTTCTTTGCTCCTTGGTATTATTTCATTATTAAGATGATTATTTTAAGGTGATTCCCACAGTAAAAGAAAGAAAGGAAAAGGGAGATGCAGGACAGCATCTGGTCAGAGATACTGAGAGTAAGAAATCTGCAACTATGCAAATGTATTAGAGCAAGGAAGAGTTATCTAATGCACTGACAAGTGACCTGTAATATATTTCATTTTTAAAAATCAGCCTCTCCCTTCCTGTACAAGCACAACATGTACATTACTCACAGACACAGTGAGTAAACATGGAGGGCCCTCTTCTTCGATGCCCTGCACCTTACAATATTCCGTTGCAAAGCCAGAATGGTGGCATTTTAAGTCCACTCTGCACAGGTGCAAATGACTATGCAAAGTTCAGGACAATGGTGAATTGGGACTATAAGGCCAAACTGATGCTTGATGCAAGATTCCTGAAAACAACATAGTCACATTAAGAATGAATGAGGAACATATGGCAGGATTTAAATCTTTTTAACTTTTGTATCAGAGGGAGCATTCACACTAATATTAAAGAATTAATTGGTAATTTAAATTAGAGATGAGCCAAAGACCTGGACCTAAACAATGGAGTCACATCTAAGTTGTACATTACAGCTCTGGTACATCACAATCTGACATTGGGGCAGTTATTAGTTGTATCTCCAAAATCAGTAGAGCAGAACTGGAGTTTGGCTCTGGATTCAATGATCAAAAAACCAATGGGGTTTTGTGTGGGCCCATCCATCCCTTATATACAGACAAATGTTCACTTACTTTGGTAGTAGTGAAGGTCATGTAGTGGAAGGATGAATTGTTCCTGGGAAGCCAGGTGGGATAGTGTCTGGAGTGTCTGTGCAAAGTCAGGAACTGATTTATATCAATTAAAATGGAGACAAAAACAGAGATTCAGGCAGAAAGATGAAATAAGAATCCTGAGCAGATTAACTTTCTGAGGAAAATATACTGCCAGCATACACTATCACCATAAATCAGCTACATCGCCCAAGAACATCAGCAAGTCTGACAGGCCTCAAATTAAACCCAGCAACTTTGTTTGGGATCCCATACATCACATTTCTGCATCACCTGATCTGCTTGCTCTGTTCTCTCTTTCCCAAACTACGGAGAATGTTCCCATTTGCAATATTACAGGCAGTCCCCGGGGTACGTACAAGATAGGGACTGTAGGTTTGTTCTTAAGTTGAATCTGTATGTAAATCGGAACTGGCGTCCAGATTCAGCCGCTGCTGAAACTGACCAGCCGCTGACTACAGGAAGCCCGAGGCAGAGTTGCTCTTATATGGGCTTCCTGGAATCAGCCGCTGATCAGTTTCAGCAGCAGCTGACTTGGGGACCAGGAAGCCCGGGGCAGAGCAAGTCTGCCTCGGGCTTCCTGTAGTCAGCCGCTGGTCAGTTTCAGCAGTGGCTGACTTGGGGACGCCTGGGGCAGAGCAGGCACAGAACACAACACTTTGTTTCTTGCACCAGCCCCAAACATCTTCTCTAATTTCTGGAAAACATAACCACCCATTTCCTTCTTCAGTCCCAAAATACAATGCTTACTGCTTCCCTGATGGCTGGTTTAGTGTCAAATGTCTATGGATGGTTTCTTGCTAAAACCTGGTAAAGGCCCTTCAATTATCTCAGCTCTCTCTCTCTTTTGGCATCTTCTAGTGTTTATCCAAGTGTTGCTAGCCTTCACAATATTATTACAAGACCTGCATTATTTGGTTTTTTTTCTTAAAGGCTCAGTTCCTGGAACCCTGTAATTACATGAGAATCTCCACTTTCTTTTTCTTCTTGTTCTTCCAAAGTTTCTAGCACCCATGATCACAGAGAAAAAAAATGCTTGAAAATGTGACCCAACTGCCTCCAAAAAAGCTCAGAAATCAGAAGACAAATATAACCTCCCTCCCAATTATTAAAAATCTCATTATTTGTAAACTAATCTTATTATTTTGAGGCCCAACTAATTAATTTGAAGCTAAGAGTTAGCAATATTTGGTAGCAGTGTTGCCAGTTCTCATGATTTTGTCATGTTTCTTAAGAGATTTGGTGATTTTCTGAAAGCCCCAGCTCTTGGAGTCAAAGTTTGTCTTTCAACTTTAAAAAAAGTCTCTAGCCCTCATAGTTAACAAGTTTGAAAACATGACCCAAGTGCACCAGTGTTCCCTGTAAACCCAAATACCACCTGGGGCAGTATGTGTTTCTACTAGTGGTGCATATCCACATATGCATTGGTGCATATAACAATATTTATTCTGGATGGAAAAATAGAGGGAACATTGCAGTGCAACCTAAAGGCAGCTCAGAAACTAGGCAGTAAAGGAGAAAATACGCACATATAGGCTATGTCTACACTCGCGGCTTCTTGCGCAAGTATGCCCATTCTTGTGCAAGAATCCACAGAGCATCCACACTGCCCACTGGCTCTTGCGCAAGAAGATTTACAGTACGGCGTGGTAAGAGAGGGCTTCTTGCGCAAGAACTACGCTCTTTTCTAACAGGTGTAAGCCCTCTTGTGCAGGAGCTCTTGCGCAAGAGGGCAGTGTGGACACTTGGCAGGGATTTCTTGTGCAAGAAAGCCCTATGGCTAAAATGGCCATTGGAGCTTTCTTGCGCAAGAGAGCGGCCACACTGCCATGGATGCTCTTGCGCAAAAGCACAGCTCGCACATGGCAGTGTGGACGTTTTCTTGTGCAAGACTTCTTGCACAAGAACCCTTGCACACAATGTTCTTGCGCAAGAAGCCGCCAGCGTAGACATAGCCATATTGTTTTAATGAACTCTCCTGGGACTTGGGAGTCTTCCGGGGTTTCTGAGCACTCAGAGTTGGCCGCACTGACTAGTCTCATGGTCAGGCTCTGCCCACATTGATCCAGGAGAAGCTGGGAGCTGTGAAGAACTCACTATCCACCTGCTGCACATGGACAATCTCCGAGTTCTGCCGCCTGAGCTCTCACTGCTGGAACTCAGGAGTCTTGACCCTACAGAACGGGCAGTCACCACACAGCCCTTGGCAGGAGCATTTTTGATTAGGCACCCGCGTAGCCCCCCCTTCGTCTCAGAGTCTAACGGGGTCCTTGCTGTTACGCGCGCCGCCATCTTGTGCCCTGGTCCGCCAGTGGGCGCCGCCATCTTGTCCCTCCCTCGTCCTGGGCGCTGCCATCTTGTGCCCTCCCCCATG